CTAAAAGGACAAAGCTACACCAAATGATAGGGGATTTGTTTCTGTTTTGGGTACTAGGGATCCAGCCCAGGGCCTCCTGCCTGCTACACAAACACTACTACCCAGCTACATTCTTCACACCTAGAATATGTTATGGGTAAAAATATGAAGGGTAGGTTTGAAATACTTGATGCTTTGAATTATACCACTTACACTATGTTTAGAAATGCTTTTGTCTTCTATGGTCTTGGCCTTCACCTTACAAACCCAAAGACAGGGCTCTTTATTATACTTTGTGCCATGTTCTCTTAAAATGTACAAATGCTGTTTTCACTCACATATAATACTTTTTAGATAATCAGTTATTTCATAATACCTCCCTTAATACCCATGTAGTTATATCAGTGTTTACTGAAAGGATATCAAAATACACATTATAAGACTTTCTAAAAGGAACAATTATACCTATTTTTTAGACTAAACCACAAAATCATGCAACATGTTTCTTAACTGTTCACCACAGCAATGCTCCCTATCCTTGAACATGTACAGATATTTTTCATGTCAAAGCATGTCAGAGATAAAACTATAATTTTGGAAATCTTATCAGAGAAAACCTAAGAAGGATGGCCTTGTTGGAAGGTCCTGAATTCTCCTTTTAAAGTCCTTTTTTTTTTTTTTTTTTTTTTTTTGGTGCTTCATTGGCAGCTCTGGGTATCTTTTAAAGCAAGTTGAATTATACATGGAATCAATCTTATTTAATTTATAAACTTTAAAAAAATATTATTATTTAGTGTGTATGCAGACATGCCAGTGCACAGGTGGAAGTCTCTGTGGATTTGGTTCTCTCCTTCATCCACCTTTCCAGGGGCTCCTGGGATTGAACTCAGGTCAGTAGGCTTCACCAAGGCAAGTGCCTGCAAAGTGTGAGACATCTCTCTATCTGCCTTAAGTAACATTATGGAAACATCTAGCAAGCAAGCTGATTCAGGAGACTCATGTGTCCAGTGCAGGTGAGAGCGTGATCATAGAAAGCAGTGCATTCCAGTGTATTGAACCTGATTTTTTAATCTTAAAGGAAGTATGTACAGTATTCTTGGCGGAATAAGGAAGCCTTCTCAATAGATAACTTTTGATTTTCTCATATAACTTTCCAGCAGTGTACCAAGATTCTCTTGTTTCCCAGCTAAAGAGTATTGCAAGGTTACTTTTCTTCTAACTAAAATTATTGCAGATTGTTTCAAGTGTACTGAAGGATCCATCTGTAACCAAGAAGCTATTTGAAATGGATACCTCCTGGGAGAAGAAAATCAGTTTTCTTCAGCTGAGTGGCACTGGGTCTCTCTACACACTCTAGGGAAGGCCCCATGCTCAGGAGTAGCTGATCAACACAAAACTCCACTTTTTTTTAAATGTGTGCTTTTTGTTTTGTTTTGCCATTTTTCTTTTTGCTATGTTTTTTGTTGTTGTTGTCGTTATTTGTTTGTATGTTTTGACTATTTTCTGAGAGAGAGAAAGAGAGAATGAAGTTTGGTAAATAGGGAGGTTGAGAAGATCTAGGAGGAGTTGGGAGAGTGGAACAAATATAATCAAATACAGCATATGAAAAAGAATAATGCCGATAAAAAAAAAAAAACTAGGGGAGGGGCTGACAGACATGAACATGCTAGGCAAGGGATCTTCCACTAAGCTATATCTCCAGCCCTGAAATGTTTCTTAACAATGGGGAACAACAGGGGGAGAATTTGGGCTCTATGAGAAGATATACAATCACATGTTTGAATAAGATGACATACTACCATTTCTTAATGCTTTTCCAATTTTTGATTTAAGAATGTTTCTTACTAAAGATATCTTATGTGGGAATTTTTTTGAATGCATTATAGTTTTCAATATTAAACAGCTAAGAGTTTTGAAAATATAACCCAAATTAGTATTCTTTGTAAATACATACTGGTACTTGAAGATTCCTTTAAAATAAAACCCAGGGTTTTAGAACTTCTAGTTTTAACAAACAAACAAAAATTCTTGTTCAAAGAGCTGTTATTTTTATTATTATAAATGGGGATTATTTTGATATGAAAAACAATTTGCAATAAAAGAGACACCTTAAGTCATTTAATCATTTCAAATGCTTTCTGCATTATTTAAAAGTAGGTTGAGAGATTTTAAAGAATTGTGTTTCATTAAGTTTTGTCTTTACTATGCTACATAAATTCTCTTTTCTTATGATTAAAGGAAGGTTATAACGAAATGATTGCTTGATGTACATTCATTTGTAGCAATTACATGAGCATTTGAATCTTCTATGGTTTGCATTTGCTCATTTCTGTGAATGATGTTAGGTAAGGCTGTTCTGTGATGGCGTTCAACCTTGCCTCTCGGTCTTCTTAATGTTTGAAAGTTTCTACTGTCCAGCAAATTGTTGTGAGAGAGATAGTGAGGGGAAGGGAAGGAAAGAGGGATGCAGAGAGAGGAAAAGAGAAAGAAACAGAATGGGCATCCATTCATACACAAGCATGCTTTGTTTTAATATATACTGGAAGGATAACAAGAAGTCAATAAAATTGAGTAAGAGTGGGTAAAGAATAGGCTAGAGAGGAAGGGACTGACATATCTCTGAGAAGACCACTATAAGATCTGATATCTGGAAGCAAGTTCATATCATACAGAATCAAATTTATGATGAAACCAACAAGAACAAATAAAAGCATTTAAGCCAGATGCAAACAGATATAAATAAGTCCAACTCTAGTTCAAATAAATAACATAAATATACTCAGTTGGGTAAAAGTAAACACAAATACCGAATTCTCTTTAGCAGTTTTGTGTTTCAGGTATGCAATAATTCTGAAACTATTGTATATGCATATAATTCAGCACATAAGTAGATACAATGATATTAAGAACTAGAGTTTTCACTTTGACAAGGGAAAAACAAGTATGATATGTGAGATAACAATGAAGAGTTCTGTGTCTTGGACTGGAATTCGGGTGTTGTATGACTCATGTATTTTTTTTTTTAAAAAACTTGTTTACATGCATGTGTGTGCATTTGTGTATGTTTGTTCATGTGTGCATATACACAGACACATCTTCTCGTGCGTGATGATACGTTCTTGTCATCCCAGCATTCAGGAGAAGGATGCAGAAAGACCTTGAGTTCAAAGCTACAAAAAGATCCTTCTCAAAAACAAAAAAGTCTTGACAAATGAATATTGATACAATAAAAATGAATTTTATATCTATCCAACTCTGTCATCTATCCAGTTATGTAATAAGAATTAAAATTCCTAGGGGTAAGGAAGTCATCAAGACGGTTCAGTGAATAAAAGCACTTGTTGCGCAGCCTGATCACCTGAGCTCCACTCCTGAAAGCACATGCGGGGGTGGGGGGTGGGGGGGAGCAACTCCAGGAAAGCTTTCTGATCTCCTCATGGTTGCCACAGCATATGCACTAAAGCACAGAGGCTGCCAGGAAGACAGGAAACATCATTTCAACTTTAAAAATCAAATTTACTATTTTCTGAGGAACACAGAAAATAAAATATAGAGAGGTTTATTAATTTATTTATTACACTGATTTATTTGGGAGTCTGATCTCTCCTTCCATAAAATGGGTTCCTGGGGTCTAGCTTGGGTCATAAGACTTATGGTACTGCATTTACCTACTGAGCCAACCACAGGCCTAAAATTTTCAATTAAATAAAAATTAAAAAGGGAATTACCAAAGTTCACTTTGACATTATAATATCAAATATCTTTTGATATAAACTACCAATTGATATAGGAGTATGATGCTCCAATTAACATTTTATTCTGATTTTATGTCCTAAATTACTTATGTAACTATTAAGTGACAATAGAAGCTTGGGAATACTTTTCAAAGATGAGAATCATAATGTCATTTACTTATTTTCAACAATCATAATGTTATTTACTCATTTCCAACAACTCTTCTAATGAAGTTAGATAGCTTTTTAAAAATTAGTCCTTTTTAGGAATATTTTGAAAGATCTAGGGTTTCTCGAGTCCCTTTGATATTAAAAGGAAAACTTTCTAACTCTGAAATTGCTGTGAGTGAAAATGAAGATGCCAGGTGAGGAGGGAGTAGCCAACATTCATTATACCCACCCGTGAAACTGTCAACGAGCAAAAGTAATCTTAAAACATGAACTGCCTCTTGCTACTGTGTTCCTTTTGTGGAAGCAGAACAAAAGTACATTAATAGTTAACAAAGCTAGAGTATGATATATGAATGAAGCCTCTCAATTTTAAAAGTACTTAGACTGTATTTACAAAAGATCACTACCATTAATTATTCAACATTTGGATTTGACCAGAAACCAGAGCATGAGTTTATAAGGCTCTGTTTAAATGAACTACTTAATGCTATGATGAACACTTTATCCAGTCAACTCAGTGGATTGTTATAAAGGGGCCTCTCCAATGTTTTAAATCAGTAGACAGATTTTAATGCTAAATCAGTTTAAATTTCATTTGTTCTTTAAAAATGCTTGCTCAAAACAAAATTGTGCATCTCAATTATTTTATATACTAAAACCAAATATAGTTTAAACCAATGCATTATTCATAAAGAAAGACATTAGGAAAAACAAAGCTGTGCATTTCTTTCAAAGCTGTTAAATCACTGGAACATACACATTTATACAAGCAATATTTGACTGTGTTTTGTTCAAAACATGTGCTTGTTTGTGTCAGATCAAGATACACCAAAAATCAACATTTTTTGCTTCTAATTAAAGCAATCATCAATCCAAGGATTGTCATTCATTTTATTTCATCTCTACATCAAAAAAAAAACTAATTTAAAAAAATTTAATTCCCTCGAAATGGTAAGATAAATGAAAAGGTGAGTTCCTTCACATAATACCAGTAGGCTGAGCCTTTGGGAACTGGTTGACTTTCAGTACAAGGTATTCAAAACTCATGCAAAAGTGTTCATTTAGGATGCAGATATCAAAGACGATGCAAATGTTCAAGAGGAACTTAGAACTTACCAGATGTTCTAATCCAGCTTTGATGTTTCCAGATTCCCTAAAAAAAAAAAAGAAGAGGAAGAATAAAAGTTCTAAATAGCTACTAAACCCCTGTCTGCTCTAATTTATGTTTACCTGAAAATACTTTATAAAACCTTAACATTTTTCATTTAGCTTTACTAAAGTTCATAATAACATTGCTTTTAATGGGGAAAATATCCACCAACAGAGAATATTTTTTAAAATTAGTATTAGCATTAAAAGTTTTATTTGAATAACAGAAAAAATGTTCAATTTTTCTGTCAGTAGAGAACAACAAAAAAATTTTCAGTATATTCTTTACTATTCACACAATGTTTATTTACATCAGTTTTTTAAAATTATGAAAATGTTCAACCTCAAAGTCTATCTACCAACTAGAAACTACAACTGTACACTTCTGAGTACACAGTTAAATAACAAAACACTGGCAAATGATTTTTGAACACTAATAATTTATAATTTATAATTACATTATAAATTAAGATCTATAATTATTATATTGAAAAAATATCAAAAAAATCAAATATGAGATACACAATATCTTGTTTTTGACTATAAAAAACTGCTTGTAGAATTAAAATTAAATATTTATATAAGTTGCAAAGACAATTTAGACATCTGATGAAGTATGGTAAATATGTAGATTTCTTTGAAGGTTTACTTTTTTAAGAAGTATTTTTTCTTTTATTTTTCAATTTGAATATAATTTCATCATTTTCTCCTTTCCTTTCTTTTGTCCAACCCTCTCATACAACCCTTCTTTGTCTCTTTGAAATTCATGACCTCTTTTTCATTGTTTTACATTCTTCTATGTATATATGTTTTGTTTACAGAACTAAATAGAACCTGATTGGTCATTGTGTTACTTGTATGTTTTCAGAGCTGACCATTTGGTATTGGAAATTCAATTGGAGTGCTCCTTCCTGGGGAGCTATTTCTCCCACTTTCAGCATCCCTGATTTGCCTGTAGTTCTTTGTGTAGGGTTAGAGCCTCATGATCTTTCCCCACACACCATGGCATGACTGTCACTGTCTTTGTGCAGCTCATATTTAGGCATTCATATTGGTGAGACTTTATGGGTGAAGCTTCTGACATGACTACAAGACATAATCTCACAGTAAACTCCTTGATCCTCTGGCTCTTCCAGTATTCCCATCCTTTCTTCTGCAATGTTCCCTGGGCCTTAGATGTACACATAGTTTTGTAGGAGTATCTGTTGAATCTGTGTTGATTGGTTGTGCCTTTCTGCAGTGGTGTCTGTCAGTTGTAAAAAGAAGTTTCTTTGATGAGGAATGAGAACAGTGGTTTTTTGTGGGTGTAAGGACAATATTTAGTGTAGCTGTGACATGCTGGTGGTCGCTGTTGGGGTTCACAGGAATCACAGCTGAGTAGCACTCATGCTTGTTTCACTCCCTTGGATGCTTGCCTGATGCCTTTTGGTGCACAGGGAGAACACAATCAGTTGAGTTCCCGCTCAGGGGCCTCTGGCCCTATGTTTTAAGTGCATGGAGAAGGTTGATATTTAAAATTTTTATGTATATGTGTGTGAGTGAGCCTGAGTGACTATATGTGTACCACATGCATGCAGTACCCCCGGAGACCAGAGGAGGCTGTATGAATCCCCAGGCACTAGCGCTAAGGGTGTTGGTAAGCCACTTGAGTCCTCTACAATGCCTAGTAAATGCTCTTAACTGCTGAGTCAGCCCCTGGGTGGTTTTTTTTTTAGACTATATCAGTTTATTAGTGACAAACCAACTTTGACTTTCCTACTCTGATCAAGCAGTATTTTAGTTCAGCATAATTAGAGGTCTTAGCAATTTTTTAAAGCATTTTATTTGGGTTGGAGAGATGGCTCAGAAGTTAGGAGTGTGTGCTGCTCTTGCAGAGGATCCTAGTTTGGTTGCCAGCACCCAAGCCAATGACCTCACAATTGCCTGTAACTCCAACTCCAGGGGATCCAATTTCCTCTTCTGAATTTCATGGGCACCTGAAATCACATGCACATACCCCACATATATACACATAATTAAAAATAAAATAAATCTAAATGTTGTATATGTGTGTTTCTATGTGAGGGAATATACACACATGAGTGTAGGTGCCTCCATAGTATAAAAGAGGGTTTTGGTCCCCTCTAACTGGCGTAATAGGCAGTTTAAATTCTGAGTTACGCTAATAACTGTATAATGCCCTCGTGAAAACAAAGATTTCTTTGCACTCCCGTTCAATTAAACAAATAATAATAAAAATTGAACTAATTATACACAGAGTCTCTGTTCACCCCTTGAAGTAATTTATTCTCGCCTCTTCTTAGGGTTATGTTGGCATTAGAGATTAGAGGATGAGTTTCACCAACCCTGACATCTCTACACTGAGTGTATAGTTTTGCTGAGGTGCTAGAAGCAGCAGAGACCTGTTAGAGAGAAGCCCAGGCAGCACAAGTGCTCATCTCCTCTTAGTATGTGGACCAGGCATTAGGAATGGAGGTTGGAAGCCATGAGTTAGCTTTCATGCAGCACAGCCCAAGGGATTAAAGTCAGGAAGATATGCAAAAACAGCAGAGTAAGACAGAGAAAGCTACATTTCCTGGAACTCGCTTTGTAGCCCAGGCTGACCTCAAACTCACAGGGATCCACCTGCCTCTGTCACCTGACCTCTGGGATTAAAGGTGTGCGATACCACACCTGGCTAAATTATATATTTTTTATATGTGTTTTGGATAGCACATCAGACAGAAAACTGGATGTTATTATTGGCACATCTCTTCATTCACTACCAACCAAAAGCAAACATAATCTACCAGAGTCTCTGTCATCTGATACCCTTAATTATTATCACCCAAGTACATTTTTCTGTTTCACAGGTGGCACCTTATTTAAGACTAGCCTCTTTTATCAGTTTCTCACTGGATCTCAGCGGCTCCTGCCCTTGTTCAGTGTCAAAGCAGCTTCCACAATAAAGGAAAATCTTTATAAGGTATAAGTTTTCTTAACACATGTATCCTGCCAAAGCTACATAACATGGTAAGTGACAGTAATAGCCAAAGTAGACAAACTATTAATCTAGTTTTCACTCTTAATGAGCTACGTGATCACACACACACACACACACACACACACACACACACACACACACACACAGCTATTTTCTTTCAGTCTCCTCAAATTCTCATATTATTAACAAACAATAAAATGAAAAACAAACTTTCAGTACTCCTAAACTATGTCTCAATGGAAGAAAATCTCTCCCTTACCCACAATATACAGAGTTCTATCAAAAATGTTCCTGTAACACCCTAGACATGTCCCATGACAGAATTTATTACAAGTCATTACAAATGTTCATTTAGTGTCCCAATTAAAGCACTGTAAAGAAAGCTCCTGGAGGAAATGCATTAAATGAAAAGGAATTTATATTCCAGCACCTACTTCACAACATCTGAATCAGAGCATGTGACCAGTTATAAGCATCTGCCAGCTTCAGCTTAGGTCTCTGTACAGCCTTGCCCAGTTCCATCTGACCTTAGTTACTTTCTATTATGATGATAAACACCAGGATCAAAGCAAGTTGAGAAGAAAAGGGTTTATTACAGCATACAGTTCATAAGTCAGGGCAGGAACAGAAGGCAAGAACCCATTGTCAAGAACTAAAGCAGAGACCATAGAGGGGTGCTACTTAGAGGCTTATTCCCCATGCCCAGAACCACCTGCCCAGGTTTGGCACCACCCACAATGGCCCAGGCTCTCCTCCATCAATCACTAATGAAGAAAATACACCATAGGACTGCCCACGGCAATCTGGTGGGGGTCTCTTCTCAATTTGGGTTCCCTCTTCTCAAATAACTGTAGCTTGGGTCACGCTGACATACATCTTCCAGCACAGCCCCTATCACCATGCCACAAAAAGAGCAAGGGGTTTCCACCTGTGAGGGGTCATCACAGATAGAAAGTAACATGAAGACATGGGGGTGGGAAAGGGTCTGTGTGCATGTGGAGTGCGGGTACTTTGCTTTGTTTTTAACCATGTTTTTGAAGGAGATGGAAAGGCTTAAAGCTGGACTAGAACAGTACAGTCTTACCACTTGAGCTCTCAAACTAACCTGGACTAAAATGCCAGGAAAGAAGAAGATTCCCAATAACATTCAGGAAAAAGAAATTTCTGAAATGATTCATGCAAGCCTAAAAGACAAAATAATTCAGAAAGGTTTCTAAAAAAGTATTTAAAAATGACCAGACAAATCTGAATGAAAGCTTTAAAGGCAAATGATTTTATATTCCTAGTCTCTTCCAAATTTATATATAAAACACCCCTCAAAACAACAAAGAAAAAGCAATGTGAGTTGTATTTATGTATTATTAAGATAATAAATATATTATCTTGGCTCTAGAAGCAGAATATCTAAATTCAAATTTAATCTCTATTACAAAACACCCACATAAGCTTAGTGATTACCCACCTGCACTGAAGCCACAAATATGCATTTAAGGAAAATTCACTACACAATATAAAGATAACTAGAACTTGCCTAATGCACAAGTTATTTTTAAAGAATATGCAATATAATACATACAAAGGTCCATTCAAAACTATAAGGTGCTATGGAAGTCATGTTGTGGCAGGTGGCATTTAAGACAAAAGATCTAAAAGTCATTACAGAAGTCTTAATGATTTTCTTTTTTAAATAGAGACACAAACTCCAAAACACTGATAAAGGGATCTTGGCACAAATGGTAGAAAACCTGTCCTCTTAGTGGTCTGTCTCTTGGGTTGTCCCTGTCATGACTTCATCAATATTTGTGCAACTCCTTTTGCCCTGTGCTGAAAGCAGACTTAATTCAATTATAGGTCTCAAAACTGATAAAATGGTCCTGAAGTGGAAAATGGGAAGAGATTATTGGCAAATGAATAAAGATTTGTATCGAACTAACACACAGGAGTACAGCGGGTCTTTTTTTTTTTTTTTTTTAATCATTCCCTGTCTTAAATCTTCTGGGAACCATGAGTTTCCCTTCCCC